GTGTCTGTTAGGACCACGACGGTGTCATCCACGAGGAAACACTTAGGTGGTAGGCACCCTCCCCTTGAGGACTTAGCGCGTGTTTCGAAGCGTGTAAATAAGAAAACCTTATGTTGCGTCCACGCCGCGTGTTTCTAACTGCTGAATTTATTATTCTCACACAGCGTGCAAACAAAGGGGGAAAACATTATTTGCACGCCGCATTTGACGGGATTCGAACCGGGGACAAAAACTTAGCATGTAGGTGCGGTGCCACCGGCCCACGACGCCTTCCTGGCCGGTCGGGTTGCAAGTTTGGAGCACTTTGTACTGACCAAGCGTGTAAACAACGATTTAGTGCCTTATAGACACGCCGCGTGGAAATTGGGGCTAAAAGTATTATGTACACGCCAGAAAGAGTTTGAGGCGTCTCTATAAGAAATTGTACCGTTGCGTTCACGCCGCGTGTCTTTAACTGCTAGATTTATTATTCGCACACGGCGTGCAAACAAAGGGGGAAAATATTATTTGCACGCCGCACTCTGCGGGATTCGAACCGGGGACAAAAACTTAGCATGCGGGTGCGGTACCACCTACCCACCATGCCAGCCTGGCGGGACGGGTTCCTCGCTAGAAACACATTTTTCCATTCGGTGTTTAAATAAGCAAACACAGCATTGGAGATACGCCGCGTGCACCTAACTTGGAAAAATATTAAAGGCACGCCGAAACGAGTTTGAAGCGTGTCAATAAGAAAATACACCATTAGGGACACGCCGCGTCAACATAAAGCTACAAATTATTATTGATACGCCGGAAAAGCTTTTCCGGCGTGCTAATAAGAAAACTAGACATTGCAGACACGCCGCGTGAAAATAACGCCATTTATTATTATATACACACCAGCGGTTTTCCGGTGTGCATATAACTGTCTTTTTTCTTATAGAAACGCGGCGTGTCTATAATCACTCCGAAAACAAAACCCATTTCCTAAATCAATTTACATGGGCACTTTTCATGCACCCATTTAATTTAGTCCAACCCATTCTTACGGGTGCAACCCGTAACCCATGTAATGGGTGTCTGAACAGTACTCATTTGTATGGATTGCACCCATAAAGGGTCTAAACCATTACAAAGTGTCCAAACTCGGACAAGGCTTGTCATTATTTTTTTTTTTCAAAGAAGGTTTGTCAACCGTGATGGTCGTCACAAACGTAACTTTCGGAGCTTAACACAATGGTAGTTTACAAGTTATCCCTAATTGGTCGGTGGGTAGCGGGTTTGCCTACCTTTGCATCACACTTTTGCCTAACCTAGCAGGCGTTTCTTAAGCGAACCCAAAGAGCTGGGTCTCAATGGGTCCTAACCCATCCAGGATTAAATGGATCAGAACCCATGGTCGAATGGGTTCTGTCTGCTATGGAATGAAAAAACAAAAAACAAAACAAAAAAACAACTGTACTTACAAGCTGTCAAGCAAAATAAAAAACTGCATTATTTCCCGGGCCTCGTCAATTTGGCACTGCCAATCCAAGTGTGAGACAGTCTCACACTTGTAGGTGTGGGACATTTTGTCTCACGCTTACAAGTGTGAGCCACGTTCGTCTCACGCTTGCAAGTGTGAGCAACGTTTGTCTCACGCCTGCAAGTGTGGAACAACGAAGTCGCACACTTCCAAGTGTGGGACACAGCTTGTCCCACACTTGCTGCCTATGCTAGATTTGTGGTTCAATGCCACGGGTCCAGCGCCTGCAAGTTTAGGACAAACCGTGTCTCACACTTGCAAGTGTAAGACATCGATGTCTCACACTTTCCAGCGTGAGACAAACGTGGCTCACACATGTAAGCGTGAGAAAAATGTCTCACACCCATAGTCTCACACTTGGATTGGCCGTGTGCAAAGCCGTGTGCCATTTTTACTGTTCTCTCCACCTTGCGACAGTACGCACTTGTAGTTTCTGAACCAGAAGAGTTGCCGTTACCAAACTGTGGCAAAAGGATTTCATAAAAAAGTGGCAACAGACACGGGCGTCTTTCATCAAAGTAAAATGAAAGAGTTCAACCCTTACCACACCAGAAAGGTGATAACAATATTTCTCGCGCAGCAAAAGCATTATGACAGGGTGCGCTTCGTGCCAAATGTGTCAGTTTCGATAAGTGTTCGGCCCCAGAAAACAAGCATCAACCCCAACACACATCAAGAGAAATGACTTTGAACTTTCAGGCACCTCAAAGACATTGTAGCTAATTTTGGTGTGCTCATTAGTCAAAGATATTTCCACAATGACATAATGGCACTCTTCTACGTCTTGATTACTGAAGGTCGATGATGAAGCAGAATTTGTAAAGCCAAAAAGACAGAAAAGGGTCCACATATGACGAGATATACGCATGCAGCGGCGATTTCGGGAAATTGTAAGGCGTTTCATACGAATTTTTCCTACAAAAAGTAGATTTTCGCTTCCCAGCGGTTCCTGCAGCGTTTCCCAGAGTGCCTCCAACTCTAAAATCGTTATTTTGGGTCTCTAGAACACCCGTGCAAAGCGCCAGACCGGGGTCAGAAAGTGCAAGGTTGGTTCCAAATCTGTCGCTTACAGCCCTGACTATAGTGGGCGCAAACGTCTAGTTACTGAGATACAAAGTGTTTTGTAATTTCCCTTCGCGCTCACGAGGTAGGCTCCCGCCGCCCCTGTGGGTTGCGGGACCTCACGAGTGGGTGTCATGGGACTCGCAGTACTCGGGAGAGTGCCACTGACTTCACAGAAAAACCATGGAGTCCTGCCACCCCCGTGAAGACAGCCGCGAGATTCACTGTTACGCAGGCCACCACGACAGCCACTTGAGACCCTCGGCAACCCCCCTGAAATTACACTTGAAAGGTCCGCCGCACCCCTGCGACCTTCGTTGCATCCCTGCAAGACCCACGACATCCTCTCTTGAGGTCTTGTGACCCTCAGTGACAGCAGGTGCGTATCTGGCAGGTGTGAATGCCCATTTCTGAATATCAATTATCTCCGAACCCAGACGTTTGCGCCCACTAGTTCAGTGGTGAAAAAAGATTTCGCGGGGTGCCCTGCCCAAGCTACCTACAAAATATTGACACATTGAAAAAACTCACCCTGAATTTTGAGGACATGTAAGGTACAGCCAATTTAGTTTGTTATACGGGTGATTCCGTGTGTAGGGGGTCATTTCAGGTCACCGGGGCCTTGCGCCTGAACTGAGGTTGATTTGGTGGCTCTGGCAATTCAAATTTGTTTTACTAAACGAAGACCATGTCCTCATGTGGATAAGTCAATCTAACTTTTGTTTTTTCTAGGTTTCGTAAGCTGCTTAAGTGTCGTTTTGTAAGTTCCGTCATGGTCACCAACACCTTTAAGACAACATTGCCATGCTGTAGCATATGACTCAGCCACATCAAAAGAAAACTGGCTATTTCACTCCCTTCCCTGACTTATTCTTCGCAAAATAACGGAAGGTGACCTTTGTATCATCACTTGTTAAACCCGAAACAGCCTATGGGAAAATGTCCACCGTGTGACCATGTGACCTATGCTGCTTTCACAACTGACGGTCTACTGGGGTTCCTTTTCGTTTTAGAACCTCGCGACCACTTGGGATCGAAAGAACATAAAAAACGCTTCCAGAAGCCCGTGCCCGCGGGACATTGGGCGGTCAAACGACGCTTCCAGGCCGTCAGAATTGTTCAAAACGGTAAGGGTGTAAAAATAGATGTAAATTCCGTTTCGGGCCGTAGCTCCTATATCTGAGGGAGAAAATTTCCACAACCTTCGCTGAAAAACGCTATTTTGGATGGTCAAAATGACACCGTCAACAGTTTTTACCTATCTTGTAACCCAGAGGGTCAGGAGACGAAACACTTCGCTTTGTAAATTCCGTAATCTGTAATTTCCGCCGTATTTCATAAGGGGTGAAATTAAAAGTCAACTTGTAGCGCTGCCACGCTCAGAGGGGTACTGTGGGGTACTATGTATGCCATCTACACCAAATTTAGCCCCTAAAGTTGAACTTTAAAAATGAACATTTGGTACATCCAAAATGACCCTCTACGCACGGAATTACCCATACAGAGAAATAGTTTGAAAATTAAAAAAAATTCTTTGAAAGCTTATATATTCTCGAAATACTTTGTCATGACAAGCAGGGATGAAACCTAAACCGAAACGTTCCAAGGGCCGTCACAACAGTTCGCACATATGACTGAAACTGAAAAAGTGTAGCATCTGGAACCAAAGGAACAGCTTTTCCTTGTTGATCAAGGCGTACCGGAGTATTGTTCTTAAGTAGACCACGTCCAAATTCCGCTTCCCTGAGTTTTGTTGATTTAGGCCCCAAAAAGATTTAAACTCAGACAAGCGGAATTTGGATTTGGTCCAATTTGAAAACAAAACTCCGGTATGCCTTGATCAATAAGGAAAAGCTGTTCCCTTGGTTCTAGCTGCTACACTTTTTCAGTTTCAGTCATATGTGCAAACTGTTGTCGTAACGGCCCTCGTATCGTTTCGGTGGGTATCATCCCTGATGACAAGCTTCTTTTCTTTGTAAGACCCAAAATAGTTTGTATATTTTTGGGAGTGTATCTGGTTTATTATTTGCGTGACTATGTTTCACCACCGGCAGGGGCCTGGGATTTCCAGTGTCCACGCCTGAAAGTGCTAAGTTTGCAGTGTCTTCTCTTCCTGAGGAGTTTTCTATACGTTTGCACTTTGTAAAGAGAAAGAGGCTCTGCGCTACTCTACACTCAACGTGTGGAAACTGCAACTTCCGCACTTCAAAATATAGACAAGTACTCCACACTTCACCGTATGAGATAAATTCTTTGTAAGATCCTTTGTAAATTTCAGAAATTAATGATGGATGTTCTAGGGCCCAAATTTACGAAGGGTCTGTCGACAACATTTTCCCTTCGTAATTACCTGAGACTAACCTTTTCTGTGCAGGAAGTGCGGGGGCTACACTTGGTTTGCAAGGTTGGGCAGACTGATTGCGGAACTTACCTTGGCCACCTTCGCTGAGGGATGCTCGAACCACCCGCGACCGTTCGTGGTGGCATTGCCGTACTGGACAAAACCGAATCCGTTGAGCTCCTTGGTTTTCGGGCCGTAGAGCAAGAAGTAGGGGCGGTGGTCTTCGCACTTGCTGTCTTTGCTCAGTCCTTGAAAGTAATGCTTGCCTGCAGCCCAAGTCAGGGGGAAAGGACTGTTATTGGCAGTGTACAAATTTTTGAATTCAACACGAATTTCAGATGAATTTTACTGAATTGCAGCCAAATTTCGTCAAATGCCGGTATAAACTTAAAATTTTTGAAGGACATCAGTAAAGTTTCATTAAATTTCATGACTTTTGAAGAAATTTGAGTGAATTTCAAGAGTGTTTAGAATTTAGGTGTACCAGCTGTGTGGTAATGTTTTTTCTTGGTCTACTCCAAGAAGTGCGTGTACTCCAAGAAAAGCACGTTTTTTAGCACTTCATCGTTAAAAATGCAATGTCCTTTTTCCCAATCTATTTTTGGAACTTAAGCACTCGATACAAGACTCCCAATTTTACTTACAACTTAAGAGAAAATTGCGAAAATGTTCACACAAAGATGGCGCCCTCGAAGTTTTTTCCTTAATTATTAGACTTATTGCATTTTTCGGTGTTTTCACTTTGAATTTTTTGAGGGCTGACGTAGCAGTGAAGGGATTGCTAAGGAGTCTAATGCACCCTTTATGTGATGCTCTTTCGATACGTGCAAAGCGATTTGTAAACAATGGCCTAGTTGCAATAATCTCGAAGAAGACCGTGACCCCTGCACGGAGCAAGATTGGAGCGAGAGCTTCGCCTCACTGCTGCTTTAGGGTGTTACCGCCCCCTGGTATACATTTACAAATGCAAACATGCAAGTGCACACTTCACGGTTAATCCATCTCCTGGGAACAAACTGATATTCTTGAGAATCCCAGGGGATGGATTTGCGTGTTACAAATGCATACTCGGTCGGTCAGTGTGCATTTGTAAGTGTACCAAGTCGATAATTTAGATTGTGCCGCCGATGTCTTAAATTCGGTTTCACACCATTGGTTTGGGAAACATTGTGGCCGTACCCATGCCGAAGAAACAGGATTGCTCAGTGAATCCGGCCGACGCAGCCTCGGACTCCTGGGTGGGAACGTGGAGGCGGTCCGTCTCAAAGCCGACGTTGTCAGTATGCAGGATGTAAATGCCGTTAGGGGCGGTGAGGTCATCCTTTTTGAGACTGCGGCCACCGGCAGCAAGCTCCTCTACACAAACAAGTTCAGGACCGCGTTGACCAAAGAAAAGAAAACTCGACTCGTAGACCCTATCAGTCGTCGGCGGATGAAGAACGAAGACATCAAAATGTAAGCAACCAACAACGCGCTGTGCAAGCTGCACTCTAAACTGGTCACAAGCGTGGATTCAGACAAATTTCGCAGCATTGGCCCTTTTGATGGAGCTCAGCTCCTTCCTGGTACGAACTGTCATTGGTCTTTTTTCCCCTACAAACTATGTTAATTTTAAAAAAAATCCAATGCTAATCGCATTGCAAGGTGTTCCAATTTTTATAACTGGTTTAAAAGCAAGAAATGAAATACCAATTAAAAGGCGAGTTCTGGTTTGGGAGTGGTATTGCAGCAAAGTTTGTCGAAACGGTAACACATTCGTAGAAATCATGGTTTGGTCTGACAACCTCAGCAACAATGGAGGGGCAGTTTCAATGCGCGACTACTCGTTCTTTCAGCCTCGTAATTTTCGAAAGGGCGTAGACACCGAGAAAACTGTTGCCAACCGACGAAAATTAATTTACTGCGTCTTTTCTGCTACGAACGTTTTACTAATGACAGATTTAAAAGATGTTCCAATGTCGGGACACCCTGCAATGCGCTAGCATTGGCATTTTCGAGTTTCACGGCGTGTTGATTTCTTTTTATGGGCCACTTTAAATTTTGACAGTTCGCACGATGGTACCGTGTCGTTGCCATGGAGATTTTTTTCCATGTTTAAACCATTTTCTCAGAACACAGACAATGTCTTGTCTTTTTGATGAGCCAGAAGGTTTAATTTTGAGAAAAGGTACATTTTTTATTTGAACTATTATTTGATAGCATCAACGGTTCTCGTTTTCGATTGTTGCAAATTTATGTTTTTCGAGTTAACGGAAAATTTCCACGATAAATTTTCGAAAGATTTTGGATTTTTTTTTTGTAGTTAAAATAGTTTGGCATTTTTAATTTGAAAATCGGAGGGGGGGGGGGGGGGGGTCCGCAGACCTCGGACAGTAGGGGTTCTTGGGAACCCCTAAAAATCCGTCGGTGATATAAGATGCGTAATAAAATAAAAATGCAATAGGCATTGGGCAATTGGTATTACTTGGTGGACACAATATCGCACCGGGCGTGCTTTTAAAAGCATACTCGAAGTAAGGAAGAGAGTCTCTTCACATTTAGAGTGTACTTTCGTTCTTCACTCGGTGAACACTGAAAGGTGACTTTTGACGCGAAAGCTGCTGCAAAAAAAGTATCCGGCCTCACCTGAAGACTGGAAGTACACGGTGGCAGAGTAAACGCTCCCATGACGCAGAGAGCTCCATTTGTCTGCCCACTCCGGTACCCTCTCCAAGTTGAGGCCGGATGCTTGGATCTCGTCTCTGTCAACCTGAATTGATCGAATGCAAAAGGTGTAAGGGGTGGTCAACAGCCCGGTTCACAGTGCAGAGTGTCGTACAAGTTTGTAGGTAATATCGCACTAACTCGCGTGAGAAAATGTGTCGTAATCTACTCGTAAAGTACGTCTTCGGGGAATTGTGTGAGGCCTCTTTAATTTTAAAATTTCTTAAATTTTAATTTTAAAATGGAGGTGAGAATAGTGACCCGCTCCTGACCTGCCGTCATCCGCTCTGAAATATAGGTGTCGATATCTCGTAAACAAAGGGATGTACGAGTGTTATGCATAAAGTGACTTGTTTCGGAAATTTTATTTCCATTTAATGTTATTTCATGGTAAAAGCATGTACCGGTCACCGTTTTGAAGATATAGGCACTTGTACTTCGGAGCGGTTCACGGCAGATCAGGAGCAGGTCACTTTTCTCACCTCTGTCACATGGTGCCCCACTTTCTCACATTGCTGCAGACATCATCTATCCTAACCTAACATTGACTAACCAGACCTAACCTAACCCCTGCGCCCTTTTCAGGCTTTCTCAAAAAACCTTGCAAAGTATTCTCAGGCATTGTATTGCAAACTCTCTTGCAAACTATTTTCTTTGCATTGCGAAGTATTACTTTGCAACTTGCAAAGAAAATGCTTTGCAACGTTACAAACCAATGCTTCGCAACGTTTCAAACGTTTTTCTTTGCAACTTACGAACTATTTCTTTGCAATGCGAAGAAAAAGGTTCGCAAGGGGGTTTGTAATACAATGACGGAGAATTTTGCTTGTAATTCCTATACCATTTACGCCCTTCCCAAGGGCGTAAAGCGATTTATGCCCTTGCAACGGCGTAAAAGAGTATTTACGCCCTAAAGGGCGTAATTTTTATGCCTTTGTTTTACCAGTGTTCCGCTTGCTCACCGACAGGCGAATTCCCGCCACGCTGCCCTGAACGTCAAACAGCAAACACACGCGCCAGTCGCCTTCGCGGCAGTAGATCGTCGTGTTGTCTCTCGGCCTTTCAACGGTGGGGGTCCAGTAGTCTACGCCGGCATTTGCCTCTTTCAGAGTGCGGGGCAGGGCGAAGAAGCTCCTCTTGTGGAAGGGGTCCGGTAAAATGCTGTACGTCACTGACGTGACATGGAGAAGAACACATTTTCGTTTGAGGAAGAACATACTCAATTCATTCGACAGTTTTAAGCGCGTGTGTTTCTGTTTATTGACCAAGCTTATTCTCTCACAAATTTGTACGACACACCTTGCATACAGACTTGTGTAAGACAACGTACGAAACAGCACTTGTACACTTACTACTCAAGCAGACCAAAATTGAATTTTTACTGAAGATGCTTCGTGGAAGATATTATTTTTCTTTACTTCCAGTAGTTTTTTCGGATCAAATGTGACTCGTCAATAGTTTTCCTGTATCCTTGGTAACCCATTTCAACCAAAACACTTTGGGTCAGGAAATAAGATCTGCCCTAATACTCTACTCATTGCTGTATCAGAACTTCTTAAGACAGCTTGCCAAAGGCAGGCAGGGAACGGCGCAAACCAAAGTCCTTGTCAACGCCAGGCGTGAGTGTCGTACCTGGTGTAGCACCGCGAAGCCTGTTTGGACAAGACACGGTCTGGCGTACACCTTCGTTGCTTGAGGTCCCACAAAATTTCACGCATGCATTGTATTCGCTTAAAATCATGCGTTATTTCGCAAGAACCTCAGCGTACAAACTCGAACGGAATCGTTAGGTTCAGATTGTGTGAAGCCACGACGAGCCACGGACAAAATAATTGAACAAATACATTAAGGGTGTAGATTGGTCTGGGCTAGGCTTTGAGAAAATCCAAATGAGTTCTCTTGTCTGGTTACCACTTTCCATAACGGAAAGGTCATCACTACAAAAACAACATAATTTTTAAAAATAATTTAAGTTTCACAAGAACCAACGTTTTGGAGAACGCAAGGGGAGGGGCGCAGTTGTTAAGGGGGCAGTCCACAGTGGGCTGAGATTTGCAAAATCGACATTTCATCCAGTTTTTCAACGTAATTTTTTTGCATCGGATTTGTACGAGATGATGTTCGAAAAGTTTCAGTCTTTATGGAAATGAACATACCAGCTAAATATACCAGCCATATCACTGTGAGAATGGCACCTGAAAACTTGGTATTTTGAGGCTTTTGACGTTCCGCTTGTGGATCATAAAAATGACACATATGCCGATGCTGAAATGATTTTGCGACCAGCTACGTCGTATCTTTTGTCCCGGTTTTCAACGTGACCTCTTGTTTAGGTATCACACTCAACATGTGGACCGAAACTGGACTCAATTTCTCCTAGGTGGCACCTGTACACACCTCTTTTAGAAACAAGGTAAATCTGTGAATTTAAGGTTTTTCCTCAAGGGGGGACATCACTCCAAAATGATCAAAAATTGCAACTTTTTTTATAAGTTTATACTATAGACCATTCTTTTCTGCGTCGAATGGCGAAAACCGCATTCCGAAATTCAAAAAATTGCAGTTTTAGGAGGTTGTGGGCCGCAAACATGCATAGGTGAAAAGTCCAGTTTCCCCAACTTTGATCGCGTTTTTCTCGGAACATGGAATTGCAAACGGTTGCAGGCCTCTAGGGCGCAGTTTTTGAGCTACAGCGGGAAGAGTTAGCATAGAAGCTCCTACGACATGCCGCTATGGTGGGTAGCAAAATAATTTGCATTGGTCAATTTTTATTATTTTTTTAAAGTTCAAAATTGATCAATTTTGACCCAAAAAATTGAACAATTTTTTTGGTATGTAACAAATACAACTTAAAATGATTTTTTAAATGTGATTAAGGTACCCACCATAGCCTGACATCTCAGGAAGTCTGTCACAAAATTTCGTTGTTCTAGGTCAAACCGTTTGGCGTCCAGCGCTGCAACCGTGCGAAATGGTCTAACCTAACACTCAAAAATGCGTTTTCAACGAAAGCGCTGTACTGCCCTGGCGGATTGACTTAGTGTTGTTTTATACTTTATCTGTTAAAATATGAACAATTTTTCTCTTTCCGTTTGGTTTTTGTGGCGTTTTTACAAAAGCACTGTTTTTGGAGTGATGTCCCCCCTTAATATTGAACTTGAGTTTCAAAACGACTCCTTCGTGTCCCGACGGAGATCTCTACGCATAAATGTACGTTGGACATTCCTCTACTAGGGCCGACATCAACCAAAGGCTCATCGAGGCTCCACCCGGGAATGCGACGCGTGTAAGGCCACTTTTTTTACATAAATTCACAGATTCTGTCCTTATTTTTGTTAATAGTAGAAATTTTTGCGTATTTTATCTGTGTTCATGGCATTGGAAGTATTTTGCTTTCAATCTTCATTGTTTTCATGTAAAATCTAATGGTTTTTAAGAATTTGTGAAAAAATTATTTTGAGTCAAACCTTATAGTTTTTAACGTTTTTTGGTAATTTTGTTTTTAGAAGTACCCTGTTAGGTCTGCTTACCGAGACTCTGTTTTTAAATGGGAACTTTTTGCTTAAAAATAAGTGTTTGAATACTTTTTGTCATTCCTGTACACTAAAATGCGATGGCAGATCGATAGAGGGTCTCAAGACGAATCGATCGGTACCAATATGATAGCAAAAGTGCAACCCAGACGGTGACAATCGAATTAAATGTCAGATTTTGCTCCGCCAGCCCACTGTGCCGCCCCCGCGGCCAACCAACGACCTCAGCGTGTCACTCGCTGTCCGGGTAATCTGCGGGACTGTGAACAGCTTCAGCGATACGGATCTTCGCCATCTGCTGGCTAACAGCTCAGTGCCTGAGTATTATGACTGACTTCAAATTTACAATGTGTCCATTAAATTTTTGCTACTTTCTGTTGTAAAACTGTTGTAAATTGTTGTAAAAGTACGACTCTAATTATTATTTCTACTGTTCCGACAAAGAACAAAATTATGATTTCCTTATTAAAGTGTTCTGCTACAGTGTACCTGTTAAGTTAGTACTCTACCCTATAAGTGCCTATGTAATTGTACTTGAATCTATGATTTGAATTATATTTCTACCTGCTGGGGTCCCTTTGGGGGAAGGGGTGTGATGACCGAGCACTGCCTTCTGAATGCTTTTTCTCCTCACCATAAATTTCTCATATTGCTCGGCTCACCCCCCTCCTCTCAACTCCCTCCCCAAAGAGCAGCTCTGAAATCAGTCTCTATCGAACTCTTGTGTCGTCAATATCCCCTTGACTTCCCTTCGCAAAAACACTTTGGACTCAGCTTTTTCATTATTTTTTTAACGTTGCAAATGGAACAATTTTGACAAAAAAATTAAATTGAAATTTTTGGTTTTTTGCAAATATTACCGTAGAACGGGGTAATATGAGACAAATTTCGAGTTTTTTTTTTTGTAAATTTCCCCCTTTTAATTTCAACTTGAGGTGCTGAGGTGTTTATCACTTGTTCATTAACCCTTTGGCTACACTCCCTCCAAATTTCAGATTTTCAGGTGCAGTAGGGACCTTGCAATGACCCTCGGAATGCCGTCCCATATTTCCCTGCAATGTGGGGTAATATGAGACAAAAGGGGAAAATGGTATAGAAGTATGGAAAATTAACTCATTAAGGCGGGTTTAGAGTCTTTTAAGTTCTTTCATTCATTTTAAAGATGACTGGGGACTATAATGAAGAAGAGATAAAATCTGGAGGGAAGAAAAATGGGGGTCACTAAAGAGAGCTGAAAAATGTCTAAGAAGTCATAAGTTGTGCCTGTCACAAGAAAATACTAAACGAAGAGCATAGATGCCGGTCAGATAGTTAAACCAGTTCGTGTTAGAATCATAATTACTTGAAATTAATAACAGTGGAGTATTTTTGGCCTCATATTTCAAACCAAAAGAGGTGTCTCTATTTTCCCTGCAAGGTAACAAAATTGTATTCCATCTGGAACAGGCGGCCCGGGAGTAGACATAATAGAACCAAATTTTGTCCTGAATATGTTGGCATGAATGACTACAGATTTAGACCTCGTTCGAACGAAAACCCGAGTTCCAACCGAAGTTTTTGGGGAGGTTTTTACACACTTCATGAAACCTGTCAAAATTTAGAGGATTTTCGTTTGGTTCTTAATAATCCTTGCGAGTTTCTGATTGCCTTCGGGCGTTTCCTGTGAGCTGCCAAGGCCTCCTAGATCACGAAAAAAGTTCACGATGGTCTTCTGAACAACCGCTTGAGAGCAACACGACAAAAACAAAAAAAAGGGTGCTTTGTCTCGATTTTCCTTCATGTTTCATTACCCCGTTTTACGGTTCTTTTGATAGTTCCATGTTCAAGGTTGTACTTAATGCGATAGCCACTTCAATTACCTGCATTTTGGCGGAAACGGGGTTGCAATATCTTTTTTTAGCGAACTAAGGGCCTTTAACCAGTTCGACTTTTGATGAAAATTTGATTGGCAGCTGCCCCGCTTCCTGACGTCCGACCAACGCGCAAAACTTGTCTAAGATGACCCTTGCACACATCGAATTGGTGAGCAGTGAATGTCTTACAAGTGGTTTTGCGTTATGCAACGCCACGCGGGTGATTCCGTGCGTAGGGGCCGTTTTAGCCACCTTAGAAAGTCACGTAATCAATCTTGCTTGTTCGGCCGGAATTTTGCCTAGATGGCATCAATTGAACCCCAGGACGACACTCTGAGCGTGGGTGAGCTACACGTTGACTTTCCTTTTTTTTCCCTATAAAATATGACGGAATTTACTTAAAATAGGACGGAAATTTACGCTTGACGGAAATTACAAACAGGTGTTTCTGGCTCACTGCAAATGCCTATCGCCACAGAAATATGCCATAAGTTTGGCACACTAGCTCGACGTCAAGACACATCTTTTCACGTGTAGGATGTCTTTCAAAACCCGATAGAAGGGGAGCGAGAGGGGCATACGGAAATTACACCAATTGTTACAACCCACCAATTTCACACACAACTTCCACTCGCACACTCACCCTCCTCGCTTTTTCGCCACCGAAACTCGTTCACATGGTAACCAGACCATGCTGATTCTAAATACGGCGGTGGTTTTGAGCAGGGAGCACTCCTAGTAGTTTTTGTGGTGCTTACTTCGAAACCGCTGAGGTAAAAGTCGGAGTACGGTGGACATTTAGTACGCGTTCTGAAAGTACACTTCCAATCAATATACGATCTTCAAATTCAAGCAAGAAAGTCACTATTAGATAGAGATTTGATAGGTGTGAGTGGAATTCGAAGATTTGAATGGAACAAAGGGTTATAGAGCCGCAAAGTTGGTGTAAGGTGCGAATGGACATGACGGAACTTACAAAATCGACCCTTTTGGCCCCCCTCCCGCGTCACATGTTAGCTTTGAAAGTCCGAATACAAAGGGAACAAGCAAGTCTAGTGCCAAACAAGATTCTTAGGTGTATAAACCCGTACAAAAATAAATGCCTCTAGAGTGTCTCGAGCCGAGACACTCTAGAGACGTTCTGGAGACGATGTGGAGACGGTTTGGAGACACTGAGGAGGCATAATCGGAGACACTGTCGAGACGCTGGAGACACCGCCGAGACACTGTGGAGACGTCGGGAGTTTCTCGACACTGTCTCTATTCTGTCTCGAAAAGGAGACACTCTGGAGACGTTCTGGAGACACTTTAGGTAGACGATCTAGAGACAGTGCGGAGACACTGTCGAGACACGCGGCGGGAGCGCCGGCCGCCTCCCCCCTCCTCCCACGAGACGGCGTGGAGACGCTTTGGAGACATTCTAGAGACACAAGTGGCTCCCCTCCAAACAAAAACTGAAGCCGGCGCCGCACTGGGCGGATTCGACCCACAGACTGCCAGCATCACAACACGGATGACTGGCGTCGGAGCGCACTCGGCCAAAGTGACGCTCCTTAGAGGAGGTCTGCCGACGCGCATACACATGGTTCGGACCAGCGGCAACACTCTGCGCGGCCACCGCTGTCGTTTTACTTAAAACATCTTGGTTGTCAGCACTATGTTCGTTTCTCTGTTTGAAGACCCTGTTTTCTGAACGTTCCTTTATTCAAATGCACCGAAAGTAATTACTAATGAATAACACTGCATGAACTTCTCGTGACAGCGGTCGCCGCGTGGAGTGTAGAGTATTGCCGCTGCACGGAACCATGTGTCGGCGCGCCGGCAGCCCGAGTAAAAATAGAAGGCTGCAGAAAGGCTGACGCACGGCTGACGCATGGCTGTATGGACCGTTTTTTGGCTGTATGCATGGCTGCCATGGCTGCGTTGCAGCCATGTCGCAGCCATAGCGACATCCTGGACTTGCAGCCATCCACGCTGCAGTGGCTGGTCTGGCTGTTTCACGGAGCGCTTTGGCTGTGAAACGCTTCAGAAGCTGCGCACAGAAGCCTTTTGGCTGCCCTAAGCAGCCTATAAACGCTGCCACGCACAGCCAACTTAGCTGCAATGGCTGTAGGCTGCGCGTCGCAGCGTGTTGGCTGCTGGCGCCAGCCGGGCCGTGGCTAGACGTTACAGCCATGTAGGCTGCCACGGCTGTAGGCTGCGCGTAGCAGCGTGTTGGCTGCTGGCGCCAGCCGGGCCGCGGCTGGATTTTACAGCCACGCGGGCTGCAATGGCTGTAGGCTGCGCACTGCGCGTCGCAGCGCGCTGGCTGCTAGCGACAGCCTGGCCGCGGCTGCACTTAACAGCCACGCAGGCTGCAATGGCTGTAGGCTGCGCGTCGCAGCGTGTTGGCTGTCTGATGCAGCTGGGCTACGGCAGGACTGAACAGCCATGTAGGCTGCAATGGCTGTAGGCTACGGATTGCAGCATGGTGGATGCTGGCGGTATTCAGGCAACGGTCGAATTCCTTGATTAAAGGGCTATAAAAAATAGAAAAAAATAGACTGGGTGCGTGGTATGCTGATATTTGAGTTGAATACGTTAACATACATAAGCCATGCAAGTTTCGTAAAAATCGGGAAACTTTTTTGTTATCTTTGATATCTCGGGAACGGTAAGTCCTACATGAAATTACTTAGCAGATTTGGATCCGGAACGGTGTTCGGACCCTAGAAAATCTACAAAGGGCTCCATAGAACTTCAAAGGGCGTAACAGGGACCCTCAAAGGTCCTCATGGGGACCTTCATGAACTAAGGAGTGAAGCCTAGTAGCGATATGGATGCTGCCGATGGCATCCACGAGGCTGCAGGATGCGGCCGAGATGTGGCTCTGACCCGCAGCTTCATAGCTGCCGGGGGCAGCGTGGGCCGGGCGAAAGAAGGCTTCCTGGAGCATCCTGAAGGCTGCGGGGTGCAGCCTACAGCAGCGCCTCACAGCCTCCAGGCTTCCGGGGACAGCGTGGCCCGGGCGAAGGAAGGCTGCCTGGGGCATCCTGAAGGCTGCGGGGTGCAGTCTAGAGCAGTGCCTCGCAGCCTCGTGGCTGCTGGGGGCAGCGTGGCTCGCGAAGGAAGGCTGTCTGGCGCATCCTGAAGGCTACGGGGTGCAGCCTAGAGCAGCGGGGGCAGCGCTGACTGGGCTCCAAAGGGACACTTCAGTGGCTGGCAGGTGCAGCCAGAGACGCTGCACCGGCTGCGGATGGCTGTATTTTGGCTGACGTATGTCCGAATACAGCCAATGTCTGCAGCCATCCGAGTTCCATCCGCGCGTTGTAAGCAACCTGGAGGGAGCCAGCCTGCAGCCAATCTGCAGCCTATAATTTTCTCTCGGGAGACCTCCTCTAAGGAGCGTCACTTTGGCCGAGTGCGCTCCGACGCCAGTCATCCGTGTTGTGATGCTGGCAGTCTGTGGGTCGAATCCGCCCAGTGCGGCGCCGGCTTCAGTTTTTGTTTGGAGGGGAGCCACTTGTGTCTCTAGAATGTCTCCAAAGCGTCTCCACGCCGTCTCGTGGGAGGAGGGGGGAGGCGGCCGGCGCTCCCGCCGCGTGTCTCGACAGTGTCTCCGCACTGTCTCTAGATCGTCTACCTAAAGTGTCTCCAGAACGTCTCTAGAGTGTCTCCTTTTCGAGACAGAATAGAGACAGTGTCGAGAAACTCCCGACGTCTCCACAGTGTCTCGGCGGTGTCTCCAAAGCGTCTCGACAGTGTCTCCGATTATGCCTCCTCAGTGTCTCCAAACCGTCTCCACATCGTCTCCAGAACGTCTCTAGAGTGTCTCGGCTCGAGACACTCTAGAGGCATTTATTTTTGTACGGGAACGGACTGCACTCGAATAAGTTCGCTCTGGGGAGGGTGTGGACACGAAAACGCCCTCTACGCGCGGAATCACTCACGCTCGCACAGAGATATTCACTTTTGATTTTGAACCAAACGAGTAGACCCTTATACATACCAATTAACTGGTTCTGCTTTTTTCCGGCATGGAACCCTGCACAAAAAAAGGTCAATGCGTCAAAGGTTAAAAATCTCATTCAACGAACGTTAATGAAAGCAGATGATACTAGTTTGGTTTTCTTCTACGGGGTAGTTTAGGCTCATTCCAATTATACTAGTGTTTAAAAACTGAGTCCCTTGTGCCTTGGCCTGCACCGCCGCGCCTGAGGTGGCCCAAAAAAAATCGGAGGTTTTCCGATTGTCCGATTCCGCTCAAAAATCGATTCTAGACCGAAAAAAAATAACCCCTATTTTTTGCGTTTTGTCCTGAGACGATTTTGAATACCGGCTCAATAGCGAAAATGGTTTTTAACCCGTTTCAAGCACCAAAAATGTCATAACAATTACAGTTTTTATCAGATTTTCAAAAACGACACGGCAAAATGTTCGGTTTTAGACGGCGAACAAATTACATTTTCACCCATTTTTTGTCAGACTTCGTCTTCAGTATTCTACTTGCGATTTTCGCTCAAAAAAACACATATTGTTCACTATTTGGAGATAATTTTCTTGTTTCGGACGGTCGAGTTGCGTCCCTATCCACTTTCTTATCTTACCCTATCCCAAAACAAACCGACCACGTGAAATATAGCCGTGCAAATCAATTTGCCTACCATCTAGGGGCAAGCATTTCGCAAAACAAAATAGGGGTTATTTTTTTTCGGTCTAGAATCGATTTTTGAGCGGAATTGGACAATCGGAAAACCTTCGATTTTTTTTTGGGCCACCCTAACATACACGCTATTTGGGGAGGACAAAGAAAGGTTGGAGGAAGGTCTACCGCGAAATTCAAATCGATTCAATCTCTACAAGGTCTGCGGTGACCCGTCGAAAAAAATGACCCACAATTGATTCGTGACCCACAATTGATTTTTGACCTTAATCTGCCCTGACCTTTGAAAAAATATTTTATAGTCAATGTGCTTTGTCGTCACAACTTTCGAGTAAAATCTTAGCTCAAAATTAAGTTTTATCAACTCGATTCAGTGAAGATACGTATTGCCAGATGAAATATTTTGAAGTTTTAAGCGGGCACCTGAAGTGAATCTTAGGACAAAGTATCTTCAAAATTCTCAAGCCACGTAAAAAAGTTATGCTCATTTTTCACTTTTTTCATAAATTTTCCTATGTAAAGCATGGAATTTTTTGGATTTTTTACCTTCAGTCAGAGGAGAAGGTTCTCAGGACCCCTCTAAGCTAGTTGAAATAGAAATAAAAGCCAAAGGGGTCTCACATCACACTTTCATAGGATAAGATAAAAAGTACTGTTTTCGCTTTATTTCACTAAATTTCCCAAAATGGTATTGGCCATAACTCTGGGAAAAATAATTTTAAAAAAATCATCTTAGAGGGGTTCCTTTGGGTTCCTAATTCATCGATCAAAAGTGGTTTGAACCGAATCTATCGACCTCAAAAGCAGACCATCGTCGATTCGGCGGGGAATGACCCATTGTTAAGGTACTGTAATCCGGGGTGATATGAAACAATTTCGGGGTAATATGAGACGGAGTTTGGTTTACGTAAGATTCATTCTGAGCTCGCTATTCGGCCACAAAGAGAGCCACTGCTGTAAAAAATTAATTACTCTTTGTTGGTACCATTTTTTGCCGTGAAGTTTGACAGGGATGAGTCATCAAATGCCACGAGCATTATAATTCTAACGATAAAAATCATGCGTCTCATATTACCCCGAAATTGTCTCGTATTACCCCGGCCTACGGTAATCCCTCAATGGGGTTCGCGAACGGTCCGCGAACGCCACGAACGTAACTTTGTCGGAAATATGACATTGAGTTTATTGTTATAATGTTGAAATATTCCCTCAAAGTTAAAATCAGCAGTATTAGGAGCAGTGGTCATTGTCAATTAGTCTGTAGAGTCGCGTTCAGTGGGTTCGGCAACGTTCGCGTACACGACTTCAGGTACTACTTATGTGAATATAAACGTGCCCACCGCTCCAGGTACTCCTTATTTCAACTTCCTGGCAATATTTGAACATTAGAAAGTCAAAATCAATTTTAATTTCTCGACCTAAGTCAAGTCCGAACCGTTCGCGAACCCCACTGTGGGATCACCTATAGGATACGCTCTTGGTTTCTGTACTCTCGAGTAAAAGTTAGCTGACACGATTGTGTGTCTTGTAATTTAAGGCATGGTGTTTTTAAGTAAAGGTATCATATGCTAAAAAGATGGTCTCAATGAAAAAAAACAGCGCAAGCAGTAGCTCGTACACGCGTGATCAATGGTGTCACGCGCTATCACAACACCGACCACGGATTTGTAGGCGCCCGCTCAACATTGACCGGCTCTCAGAAAATGGATTTCAATGACAGAAAATGTAAAAGAGGGCAAGCGGTGGCCGACGCATTTTTTTGGTAACTAATCGATGTGATCAATTAGCTCAAATCAAATAGATTCTGAAAGAGCCTATTTCAGCTTTATTGGGGAAATTTTCTGAGGATCCTAAATCTAGTCTCAGATTTGGGATACGACACCTAGTTCGTTCACATAAACGTTTTCAAGCCTAAGATGTGACTCTACAAGAGTTGGGATGTTTGGTCTTTTTGAAACTTATTTGACTAAAGGATCAAAATAACAATGGTAATTTTTGATTTGCTGCAATGTATCCTTAGTAAATTTGTGCTGATTCCGAAAAAAGAAGCCAGTTTTGCCTAGCTGGCTAGTTGAGCCGGTAATCGCGGACAACATAACGTCTGCACACCCGTTGCGGAAAAGGAGTTTTCACCCGCTGACTATATACCCGTCCTCCGATTTATTTTAAGAATAATACAGAACGCGTGAAAAGGGGTTGTGCTCCTCTGGTAAGGACACATTCAGGAGCAAAGTGTGACTTGTTGCTTACTTTTCGGGTGGCTTCACCCCTACACTGGGAGAAATAATGAAGACTGTGGCTGTTAAACCTAATGCCACTCTCCACCGTTCATCGAAAGAAGGTGTTTACCGTACCCTGGCATACAGTAGACACCGTGCCTGAAGAAACGGCGTTCACTGTATTCTGGGAACCCGCATCTGCTGTACCCTGGAAACTGTTCAGACACGGCATTCAGTATAACTGTAAAATAAAGGCGAAATTTCAAAATCACGAAAGAAACGATTTGATGACGGAAATGAATTCATCTTATCAAGGCGAACAAAAAATGATAAGCATATTATGGTCTCAGACTGATAATTCAGTGGGAATCGTGATCAGAAGTCTAAAAAAGTAGGATTTTGGACTCCAAAACATCGGACTCAGCAAATTACGGTCCAAAATCCTACTTTTTTAGACTTTTGATGCCGATATCTGTTGAATTTCGAGTTTGAGCCCACAACATGCCTATCATTTTTTGTTTGTCTTGTTGAGATGAATTCACTTTCGTCATCGCAACGTTCTTATCGGGATTTTTGAATTTCGCCTTTATCTTACAGTTTTACTGAATGCCGTGTCTGATGTCTGAACAGTGTCCAAGGTACAGCGGATGCGGGTTCCCAGGATACAGTGAACGCCGTTCCTTCAGGCACAGTGTCTACTGTATCCCAGGGTACGGTAAACACCTTCTTTTGGCAAACAATGGAGAGTGGCATTAGGTTTAACAGCCCCAATCTTCATTATTTCTCCCAGTGTATGCGAAGGGAAGGAATCTGCGCCTGACATAACAAAAACTTTGACGCAGCCTCTTTGAGGTGAGGTCTATCGAGTACGTGACGGGTAGGGGTGGTCGAAAAAACACCTTTTTCGAAATCTCAAAAGGAAGATGGCGCACTGTGTAGCATTTTTTCTGCTGATTCCGAACATGTACTTGGTTTTGAGAACGGAGGAAAACTAAGGGCGCTACCAGCCTTTTAAGTTTTGAAAAATTGCGAAAAAAGCGCATTTTAAAGGTTTTTCAATTTGTCAATTTTTCTCCGTTTGAAAATCACTGTACATTTTCGGAATCGGCAGAGAAAATGCAACAAAATGCGCCATCTAACTTTTGCAAAACTTTCGCAAAATGGATATTTTGACGAAAATGGTGTTTTTGACCACCTCTTAGGAGCGTTCTTTTTTCAAAATGTCCATTTCGCAAAAGTTATGCAAAAGTAAGATGGCGCATTTTGTTGCATTCTCTCTGCCGATTCCAAAAATGTACTGTGATTTTCAAACGGAGAAAAATTGAAAAATTAAAAAGCCATGAAAATGCGCATTTATCGCAATTTTTCAAAACCTTAAAGGCTCACTCTAAAAAAAATGCTTCTTAAATTTCATAATCTGGATTTGAAGTTATTTGTAGAACAATGGATCTTAAATTTCATATCCAAAAAGTTCTTAAATTTCATAACTTGCTGTTCTAAACTTTCAGAAGTGGTTTATGAAATGTGAGAACTAGTTTATTAATTTTTTAGAATCAATTGGTTTTGAAAATTCACATTTGGTTCTGAATCTCTACAACCAATATTATGAAACATGATAATAGTTGCATTACTGCCCACAAAATGTATAAATAAAAAATAATAATAAATAAAACCTTTATCCCTTTCTTAATGAATATGTTACAAATGATGAAATCTCAGAAAGCTATGATTTCTTTTCACACTCAGTATTGTCGCAAATCGTTGCAGCTGGCCAACGGAAATAAGCATTGTACTGTAGTGCAGTCGACGCTGTTAACAGTCAGAGGCGCAGCAGTGCATAAGATCCAGATGCACTTTAGGGAAACTCGGTCGACACGCAGAAACTACTTTGGGGACGAGGATGAAAGAGGAGAAGCGAATTGACATAATACGCCACCCACACGTTCATCGCCCGTCCCTACAGTTAAGAAGATGGAATAACAGCACTCAGTAACACCGCTTTTGGCGAAAACACGTCCTTTTTCCGAGGGTCGCCAAAATAGCTTGTAACTCTTGAACACGAGTGGTGGCTGTTCGGCACCACAAGCAACACTTTAACTGCACTCTACGCACTACGCGCACTAACGGTACATAGCGAAACAAAATTGATGACGCGAACTTGCGGTGACGCGGACGCGAACTGGATACGATGTGCACAGCACTGGAGACAAAGACACACTAAAAGTGACGCAGTGTCGCCGAAATCCCGTGCGGCCGAGGGATTACGCGACCCCTCGCCGGGCACAGGTAGCTTCGGCTTCGGCCGGCAGGCCGGCGACCGGTGATTTTCCGTGGAAGCAGCGCCGACTCGGCTCGGGGCGGCTCGGCTCGGCCGGCTCGGGGCGGCTCGGCTCGGCTCGGCTTGGCCGGCTCGGCTCGGCTCGGCTCGGCCCGGAGGACGGTGGCCGGTCAGGCATTGCAAGGGACGCGATTTGCAGCCTCTTGGGAAATACTACACACAAATTTTGAACATGCATTAACTGGAGCATGCCTGCAAGTACGCTCCAACAAGCGCATGCCCGCCAAGCATGCACTAACTAGTGCATCATGCCATGTACACGCGAACTGAAGCAGACAGCTCTCCATACCTCTCATTAATGTAATAACTGTATGCACTAAAAAGTAGTAGGCATACGCTAGCAAAAGCGTGCTGGCTCCAGTTAGTGCATTAAATGTACGTTTTTCAGTTTGTAGACCGCCCCTAGGACTCCTACCTTAGCGGTTCGGAAAATGTTAACACATGCCGATAAAAATGAAAACTTCACCTCTTTATTAATTTAACCATGAATAAAGGACTAGGCAGCAGGACTAAACGGTTAAAAATTTCAGAACCTTGCTCTAAAATCGGCTAGCGTTATAAACTTTCAAAGCGAAAATCTAGATTTTAAGAACCAGAGTTATAAGTCACTCTGTTCTAAAAGTTTATAACCAGTTAATCTTAAAATCCATAACCCAAATCTTAGGTTTCATAACACGATCTTAAATTTTATACGAAGGTTATAAAAATTGAGGTTTAGAACGTGATTATGAAATTTTAGACTCCTTTGGATATGAAATTTCATAATTTTTTTTAGAGTGCTGGTAGCGCCCTCAGTTTTATTCCTTTCTCAAAACCAAGTACATATTCGGAATCAGCAGAAAAAATGCTAAAAAATGCGCCATCTAACTTTTGAGATTTCGAAAAAAGTGTTTTTTCGACCACCCCTAGTGACGAGCCCAGTACAGCGTGTACTATGGACCTCCCATACTCACAGGCTGTGGCGCTGGCAGCGATGGCCACAACGGCGATAGCAAGGACAAGCAGACGCGCCATCGTGCTCGTTGTGCAATGACCGATGTCGGTGTGCCACTCAATCGATTGCCGTGCTTTTTATACGTGCGTCCAATTATCAGTTCGCAGATTGCAGGTGTCATTGCTGCGCATGGCACGCAAACACCCACCAGCTCGTTATGGGCTGAGCCTCAGAAAATAAGTCGTGCCCGCGACGACGTGTCCGCGACGCTGCGAGACAGAACGGCGTAACCCAGAAACGGTTCGGAAACTGCCGACAGAGCAACAGAAACACCGGCCAAGTCGTCGACGGCACTCAGTCATAACCACAGAAACGACAACAATGAAAATTGGACACTTCCTGTTCAAGACAGCCGAGTGGCTGCCTACCGTTCAGGAGGAGCGGCGGCGGCCGCTCTCGGACTGGACGCTGTGTGCGACTCATTTTCTGAGCGCTCTGGCGGCTGACTCGTTGGTCGAAGGGGTTTCGGCGTTTGCATCCTTGTCATGGAAGGTCGTGCGCTTCTCGGCGCACCTGAGCGGATGTTGTGCCCCTCCTGGTTACGGAGAATCAGGGGTGCAAATTTAGGGGTTGAAAGTGACACGATTTAACGTCTTTTGGGTCCCGAACGGGAACGAATGGACCGAATCGCTTCAAATTTGGTGCCGAGCTGCCTGAGGGACCCCTTCATCGTGCAGTGAACACGGGGTCCCGCCGGCGGCCCCCCATCCCCTTCAAAAGGGGTGAGGGGCGTAAGTGGTTTCCACCCCCTGCCAAAACGTTGTTTACCAACGATGTGCTGTTTTTTCGCCTGGAGTCGATTCAGGCGGTTACAATTAATCGTTTTTTTTTGCTTTTTGGCCCTGTTTTTGTCATTTTTGGTGGTTTAAGGGAAAAACATGATTTGGGGTGTCAGTCGTTAGCGGCTGGACACCCCCTGGACAGGGCCACGGACATGGAAACACTTTTGTCGTGTCCGGGGTACCTCCCGCTACCACGCTGACCACCTGGAAAAGGTTCTTAAGAACCATCCCGTGCAGGAGGTGGTTTTTTCTCTGGCTCAGGAACGGTGCGTCGTACGGGGTTGGCTCTACTCTTAATCGAAAGAGGACGTCAAAATAAGTCGGCTTACCAAGTTTAAACCCTCTGTGACAATGGACAGGCCATTTTGAACCTTGCAAAAGTGTCAAAATTTGACACTGTTTTACGGGAGGGGTGAAAAAAACGCAAGGTGGTGGGTTTCGTTGTTGCAACTTTGGGGACGTTTACCCAACACTCTGGCCCATCTCTCCTCAAAATTTCATGTTTCTAGCTGAATTCTAGCAAGACTTACCAGAAAAGGAAAAGATGGGGCTTAAATTTTTACGGCCAGTGTACTCCTCCTGAACGGCTTGGCTGAATCGTCTGAGCTTTTGTACGGTTATGAACAGTGCCCTTGGCTCACCACACACCAAAATGCAGCTTTCCATCTCAATCCATGTCGTCATTACGGCCAAAAATCGTTTTAAAAATTTAAAAAAATCCTGATATATGTTGTCATGTTAAGTTTTACATCATTTCGTACGCTTTGGAGAGTGCTGGTAATGAAAATGGAATCCATTTTGACCTTCGACCGTGGTTCGAGTGATGATGTGACCAAATTTACCATGAACACCGAGCAACCGACAGTACAAAACTTCTTTCAAAAACAATTTTTCAGGATTTTGCAAAAATTATCAATACCTGTTTTTTTTGTAAATTTTTTAAATTCTGATTGCTCCATAATCATGATTCTAGGTCATGCGACAGCCGCTTCTATTACCAACATTTTGGTGCAGACGGGGTTGAGATATCTTTGTTTTTGTGGACTGAGGGAATCCCACCAGTTGTAATTTTGACGAAATCTTGATTGGTCGCTGCTCCGCTCCCTGATGTCTAATCGACGCCATTCTGGGCTTAAAATGCTTCTTTTTGTAAGGTCTTGGCACGTGAAAACTTTAAACAACGTACAACAACGCGAATGGAAGCAATTGCACAAGTCACTTTTGGTCCACTTTTAGTGTAATGCCACCGTACAGGGTACCAGCCAGCACCAGCGGTGTTCTCAGCGATTCCTCTTTTCTTTCGTTGAAATATTATTGCCGTCCTTAGACTAACGTCGGGATGCTGTTCAATTGTCAAGTGGCACGCCTCAAACAACTCATATTGCTATCTTCAACTTGTTCTAATACAACAAGTCATTCTCTATAGCAACTGCGTCAATACACCGGGAAGGATTCCTGAAAAAGGCTCTCTGAATCATGTCGAGAGGCGATTTGTGCTACAAACTGGCAACAGGCGGTTCTAGACTAATTCGACCCCGCTGAAAACGATGCGCCCTGTTGCCAAGCTCGATTTTTGCATTTAAGCCCCTAAATTCAAGATGGCGTCCCAAATGGCCGCCAAAAGGCTCGTTTTTCTGAAATAGGGTAAACTATACAGTTACCGTCAGTTTAAGGGGGCTCATACAAGTTAAAAGCACTTTTTTTAAAAAAATATTTTGATGTAGACGGATTAAGATTTTACAATTTCTGTCTTAAAATCCTTTTAGATAATTGAGTAAGCTTCATTTTGGCTTAAGGGAAAGTGACTTTGGACATTTTTTGGAGATTTAGTCGAAACGTTTAAAATTTTGCTTCTCGTAAGATTTTGTTCGCATACTTGCTCAGATCTGTGGGGAAAAAATCAGGGAGACTCATCCCCAGTAGTGTCATAGAATTGACTACAATGGGCTTTATATCTGCAATAGTTTTCAAGAAAAAAAATAAAAACAATTTTTTGTTGAAAAATTTGTTTAAAAAATTGTTAAAAAAATTGTTTTTATTTTTTTTCTTGAAAACTATTGCAGATATAAAGCCCATTGTAGTCAATTCTATGACACTACTGGGGATGAGTCTCCCTGATTTTTTCCCCACAGATCTGAGCAAGTATGCGAACAAAATCTTACGAGAAGCAAAATTTTAAACGTTTCGACTAAATCTCCAAAAAATGTCCAAAGTCACTTTCCCTTAAGCCAAAATGAAGCTTACTCAATTATCTAAAAGGATTTTAAGACAGAAATTGTAAAATCTTAATCCGTCTACATCAAAATATTTTTTTAAAAAAGTGCTTTTAACTTGTATGAGCCCCCTTAAGAGCATCGCGTTCTTTTCAAGGGCTTCTAGGGTAGGTTATGACACTTAGACCCGTGCGACTTGTTCCAGACACTTGAGAAGGATCTAGACAACGAAGTGGCTGACAAAGATTTCACTTAAAACTTTTTGTGACGCTCTTATTTAACCTGAGAAAATGGTTACCAAAAACACAGTAATCGGCAGCCAAAATACAGTTATCGGCACCCTTTATGACAGTTATCGGCACCCCTTGTTAAAAAGGCAAAACATGACCGAAAGTGACGAAAATTTCTAACAGTCGTCACAGACACTCTATATCACCCCTTGACAAGTCACGAACCCCCTCTCTCTTCTGTTATGCCTCTTGCGCCCTTCATTTTAGACTCACGGACAACTAGCACCATGAGCTGCGAAAAAACAATCTCTCAAAGCGCCGAGGAGGACATTTCGTAAATCACGTAGATCACTGGGAAATAGTGGTCCGATTTCATTCAAATTTGGCAGGGGTCTTCCCACGGTCATAATGCATCAGAATATTAACTCCCGGACGACGCCCGAAACACCAGTGAAGTTTGAGGCCACCCTGACGATAACTGTGTTTGGGGTGATTTCTCTGGTGCAGTTAACGGCACCCCCCGAATGAGGGCAAGCAAGAGGAATTTCTGTGCACCGAGCACAGAATGCTCTGTTCAATAGATGAAGAGAAGGAACCTGGCAAGGAGAATAGTTTTTTCCGGCCCACATTCACGAATTTAACGAAAGATTGAACCCCTGTTCCTAGCATGGAAGATAAGAACGGGCGGCCGAAGCAGCTTCATTTTGCGCTTGACAAGAAACATGGCTCTGTTGGCGGACATGCTCAGTCAAACGCGATGCTGTCTCGGTCCTGCATGCTCAAAAGGTGTCTCTAGCTACCTGCATTGGCCGCATCACTAACGGACGCGTACTTGCAGAGCAGGACCCAATTATTCGCCGAGATGACGATAACTGTACCCCTGCCGATAGTTTACCCTATCGAGGTACGCACAAGCGTCGCTGTATTATTTTTACAGTTTAGGGGTAAAATTATATGAAGTACACTTTGTGTAACCATTATCAACCATCTCCACATTTTTCGGGGGCCTAAATGCGAAGATGGCGTACGAAATCGTCAAAATATACCAAAACTCCCCGTTTTGAAACGGTTTTCTGCTCCTTTTGCTCGTGATTCACGTCCAATGGCAGTTCTTGTCGATCTTCGTAAATTTCCACGATTTAGGAATATACGGGGTCTAATGAGGGAGGGTTTAGTTGCTAAGATGGCGTTCGAAAACGTCCATAAGTACGAAATATTGCTGTTTTTCCTGGAAACTTGCCTTATTTCGTTCGGGTTTCGTGTTCGATGTCAGTACTCATTATTCTTTGTACATAGTCACGTGGTGACCATGTCGGGAAACACTCTTTTACGCCCTTCAAGTGGCGTAAGTCCTTTTATACCCTTCGAAAGGGCGTTAATAACGTAGGAATTGTTTAGCAAAATTTTAATGCCCTGCCAAAAGGCACAAACGATTTACGCCGCTCCGAGGGCGTAAGTCGTTTTCGCCCTGAAAGGGCATAATTTTAATGCCTTTATTTCACCAGTGTTATCACCGTAGTTGGCTGAGCGATAGCGAAGCCCGTTACTCCAGTGGGGTTGAAAAGTTTTGTCTGTCTGTCTGTCTGCGTGTGTGTGTGTGTGTGTGTGTGTGTGTGTGCACTACTCCTCCTAAACAGCTCGGCCGATCTGGCTGAGATTTTGTAGGGTCATTAGGTATGTCCTTTGCTCGCCACCGAGGGGTGACCAACTGTAAAATTTTGTGTACAATGATTGTGTGAATGTGCAAGAATGTGCAAGATTTCTGGCATTTTTGCCACACATGTTGCCTACTTACAGGCGTTTTTGCCACCTGAATGTGGAATGTGGTCAAATTTTGTACAACGAATGTGGGAAGCTGTTCCCCCCTCGCTCGC